CACACACACACACACACACACACACACACACACACACATATATATATATATATATAATGCTGAAGGGAGCGGTAAAGAGGGAGGAAGGAGGAATGGCAATAACACTTAGACTCACATACCACTTTTCTAGCCCTCTCTAAGAGTCAGCTTCTTGCCCCCAACAATATGGTTCCTCATTTTACCCACCTCAGAAGAATGGAAGGCTGAGTCAACCTTGAGCCTGGGGCAGTGGTAGGATTCAATTTTTTTTACTACCAGTTCTGTGGGCATGGCTTGGTGGGCGTGGCAGGAGAAGGATACTGCAATGTCCCCATTCCCTTTCGATCAGCTGGGACTCGGGAGGGAGAGAATAGATGGGGGCGGGGCCAGCCAGAGGTGGTATTTTCCGGTTCCCCCAACTACTCAAAATTTCCGCTACCAGTTCTCCAGAACTGGTCAGAACCTGCTAGATACCACCTGTGGCCTGGGGGGATTCAAACTGCCAAATTGCAGTCAGCCAGCAGTCAACAAAAGCAGCCTGCAGTCCTGCCCTCTAACCACTATGCCACCACGCCTCATAGCTTCCCACTGCTTCCCACCATGGATGTTGGAAGCTCATAAATGAACAACCTTCCTCCACTTTTGACCACAGGAGCTGGTCTTTTAAGAATGCTCTCTGCAGTTTCCCTGCTACCCAGGCCAGTAGCTCTCAATAGTCTTCCTTGGATCGTTCTTCTTCTCTTCTAAAAGAGGACAAGGGCAATCTCTGGGTGACCATCACATGGTGACGGTTCCATACAACAAGTTTTGGAATCGTTCCTCAGCCTTGCATAATGGAGGACTATATTTTTCAAAGTATAAGGCACACCTTTTCCCTCCAAAAAAGAAGGTGAAAATCTGGGTGCATCTTATATACTAAATACAGCATTTTTGGCCTCCTAAAACCCAGCCGCATTCGTAAAAACGGATGTGCAGAGGTTTTGGGAGGCCTGCAAAGTGATTTTGGGGGCTGGGGAAGGCAAAAAGGAGTGAAAAACGGGCCATTTTTGGCTTGTTTTTGCCCTCCCAGCCCCTAGGAGTACTTTGCAGGCCTCTCAAACGCTCTGTATGCCCCTTTTTTCACAAAAAGTGCAAAACCTTTTTTTCTAAATTTACCTCTTCAATATCTTGGTGCATCTTATACTCCACTGCATCTTATACTCCGAAAAATACGGTAGTTTTGGAATCCTTCCTCAGCCTTGCGTAATGAAGTACTTGTTTTCTGTTCTCTCCTCCCCCCGTCTCTTTTCTTTCAAGGTTTGGTTCAAGAACCGACGCGCCAAGTGGCGGAAAAAGGAACGTCACCAACAGACGGAAGTTTGCAAAGGAGCCTTTGGGTCGCAGCTGAATGGGTTGACCGGGAACCCTTATGAAGACCTTTACCCCAGCTATGCATATAACACCTGGACTCCCAAGGGGCTACACAGCAGCCCTATCCATGGCAAAGGCTTCCAGCTCTTCAACTCCATCAACCTCAACTCTTTTGCGCCCCAGAACGTGTTCCCCACAGCCGCCGGACCTTCTCTGCCTGGAGTTCCGTCTCTGGAAAATTTCAACAGTCTGGCAAGTGCTCCAGGGCACTCAGGTTCCATGTATGGGCCCGTCGCGCCTTCGCCCTACATGTACAGGGACCCCTGCACCTCAGGCCTGGCGGGATTGAGACTCAGAGCAAAACAGCCACAATCCGCTCTTGGTTACGGCGCTCCCCAAAATGTCAGCCCTAGCTCCAGCCAGTATCCTCTGGACAGGCCGGTGTGACGTTGGGTTGCAGGTTGAGAGATGATCAGAATTGCATCCCATTAAGTGTAAATATATTACCCAAAGCAGGGGTGAAATCCAGCAGGTTCTGGAGAACCGGTAGCAGAAATTTTGAGTACTTCGGAGAATCGGTAGCAGAAATTTTGAGTAGTTTGGAGAACCGGCAAATNGTAAGATGGACATATTGACACACCTGTGGAAAACCAGTGGAACAGAAGTTGCTTCCAGAAGTTGTGAATGCTCCAACACTGGAAGTTTTTAAGAAGAGGTTGGACAACCATTTGCCTGAAGTGGTGTAGGGTTTCCTGCCTAAGTGGTGGGTTGGACTAGAAGACCTCCAAGGTCCCTTCCAAGTCTGTTATTCTATATCCTAAGTGTCGCCCGTTCCTTGATCACATCATTCCTGGATCCCATTAATTTTCTGCCACCAAAAAATTAACATTGTTTTAAAATACAAGTGGAAGGGGAAATGTTTTCCTTCACCCACAAGAGTAAGATGAGGTTCCAATGTGTGTAATTTTGAGCAACCAGGATCAGGAAATGTTTCTATGGAAGAAAAGGAAGGGGAGGTCACCATCCATTCAGTGTGTTATAAGGCCTGTGGTAGACTTCCGTCCCAATAAGAAAGGGGCGAACGCTCAAATATTAATTGCAAGATTTGAGCATTTTTGCCAAATGTCATAATTCGTGGAGCTCTTTAATGCCGGTCCAACTATCTTCCTTCTGTATCTGCGAAACCTCCAGAATATTTTTTATTTAAAGGGAAAGACAGTCACACCCCAGGGCTCCTTGCTGTTCTTGAGCCCCATTTTGATAATTTTGGGGATTTAGCAGAAGAAAAGGCCTATGCAAAATATTATGCAATTTGGGGAAAATATTATATTGTATTTACATTCCATGCAGTATAGGGTTATCCCTGCTATTTTGCTATTGTTTTGCTATTTTGGTCTGTTTTAAAATAATATAGAACAATAATATAGAACTAAGGAGAAACAATTAATCAGTGGAACAACTTGCCTTCAGAAGTTGTGAATGCTCCATCACTGGAAGAAGATGTTGGATAGCCATTTGTTTGAAACGGTATAGGGTTTCCTGATTGGCAGGGGGTTGGACTAGAAGACCTCCAAGGTCCCTTTCAACTCTGTTATTCTATTCAAACCAACAATTCTGCCTTGGTCTTTTTGGTGACCTGCCTATATTTCCGCCATGCTCTCTGCTGATGAAAAGAACGGTTAAAAAACGCCCTTCCAGTGGCCCTTAGATTGTGTTTCATCTGATATGTGTCTCTAAAGAAGCTTTGCTGGTAGTTCAGCTGAAACACTTCACACAGCATCCTACAAAGCGACCTCAACAACAAAAGAAGATAACCCGAATTTACATCCCAAATAGCTGACTCCAAAATGGAGGGAGGAAAAAAATGAGGATATTGTTGCAAAGTAAAATTAAAATCTGAGAGAAGAGAATATTTGCAACTCAGAGTTGAATTGAAGAGTCCTTGGAGTTTTCTGAGCTTGGTGGTTTTCTAGCAAATGTTTCATTACCAAACGTGATAACACCATCAGTGCTAGAAGGGAGTGGGGTTTGCAGAGAGGAAAAGGAGGAGGGGGAGGGGAGAGGAGGAGGCTGTTGGTGTTCTGTCAGCTTAGTGCTTTTCTTGAAGATGTTTCATTACCAAACTAGGAAACATCATCAGTGCAATGCCTGGCGGGGATGAAAAGAATTAGGGAGAAGGGGAACCAAGAGGAGCTTTTCTCGCCACAGAGGCCATCATGGGGTTGCTTCTCATTCCCCCAGCAACGGTGTGGGATTGTATTGTTGTGCTGTACAAGTAGTCCTTGACTTACGATTGGTGGCTTAGTGACTGTTGAAAGAAATCAAGGAAGCTCTGTTGTCCAGGGCCTGGGCCAAGATATTACTCAACTCTGAAGCTGGCCTGACTGAGGCCATCTTGCAAGCTTCAGTGCTGCCACATTGGAGCTGAGGGATAGGGAGTGGGGAATAGAGATAGCTGGAGTTTTGTAGCCAAAACAAAATACTTTCCCCTGAGAACCAAGGACATTCCCACAGCTGGCTGAAGAGAAGTAAAGTTTCCAAGCAACCGGAGAGCACAGTGATTGGAGCACGTGACTGATTGTTTGGGGAAAGAGGGAAAACTTTTACTTTTAATTAGGTGAAAACCGCAGGAACATTCAGAGTCAGTTTTCACCAACTTGTGCCAATAGGATATATCCGATAAACTTGTTCTTTGAGGAAACTGTTTGCCTCAGAGTTCTGTTTACTATATGTCACAAATGCTTCTGACCACAACCAAATTGGGTTCCATCCAGGGGTGGAATCTACTTACCTTTGCTACTGGTTCGGAAATGTGAGCTTATTGAGAGAGGAAGAGGAGGGAAGGAAGAAAGAGGTAAGGAGAGGGGGCGGAAGGGAGAGGAAGAGAAGGAGAGAGTGTAGGAAGGGGTAGGGGAAGAGTAGGAGTAGGGGGAAGGTAAGGGAGGAAGGAAGGGGAAGAAGAGGAGGGAAGGAAGAAAGATGTAAGGAGAGGGGGCAGAAGGGAGGGGAAGAGAAGGAGAGAGTGTAGGAAGGGGTAGGGGAAGAGTAGGAGTAGGGGAGAGGTAAGGGAAGAAGGAAGGGGAAGAAGAGGAGGGAAGGAAGAAAGAGGTAAGGAGAGGGGGCGGAAGGGAGGAGAAGAGAAGGAGAGAGTGTAGGAAGGGGAAGTAGGGGAGAGGTAAGAGAAGAAGGTAGGGGAAGAAGAGGAGGGAAGAAAGAGGTAGGAGAGGAGGGTGGAAGGGAGGGGAAGCGAAGGAGAGAGTGTAGGAAGGGAAAGATGAAGAGTTGGAGTAGGGGAGAAGTAAGGGAAGAAGTAAGGGAAAGAAGAGGAGGGTGGAAGGGAGGGAAAGAGAAGGAGAGAGAGTAGGAAGGGGAAGAGGAAGAGAGGAGTAGGGGAGGGGTAAGGGAAAAAAGAAAGGAGAAGGAAAGAAGGAAGAAAGAAAGTAGAGAAGAGAGGGAGGGAGAAAAGAAAGGGAAAATAAAGTGGAAGGGATGGTAAACAACGCAACCCAAACTGTATATTATAATCTTTATATGGAATAATAAATTCCATAAGAATGACAAATGTAAAGAAGAAGAAGAACTGTGTGAAGCTATATCTATAATTGTATGTCAGGGGGGAAATAAATCCTTCTTTCCTCTTTCTCTCCAGGAGAAAATGGTGGGACCTCTCGGGGAAAATCTTCTGATTCCAGCGGTGAAGAGGAAGCCAACACGGGTCAAAAGAAGCCTCGTAGGCATCGAACCCATTTCACCAGCCAGCAGCTGCAGGAACTGGAGGCTACGTTTCAGCGGAACCGCTACCCGGACATGAGCACAAGGGAAGAGATCGCAGGCTGGACCAATCTGACCGAGCCAAGGATAAGGGTAAGGGTCACTGTAGAGAGAAGTGATGGGGAGGGGGGAGAAGAAAAACAGTTCCTCCCATTAGTTCAGCCACACCAATGATGGATTATGGAAGAAGAGAGTTGCCTGCATGCCAATCCTTGGCAAGATCAAAGATTCTTGGCCTACCCTTCTTTGAAGGGTTAACATCACTTTATAATGCCTTGGTATTATAGATTGATCAGAAAGATTGGCAGTTTGGCGGTTCGAATCCCTAGCGCCGCGTAACGGAGTGAGCTCCCGTGACTCCTCCCAGCTTTTGCCAACCTAGCAGTTTGAAAGCACGTAAAAAAT